GCTGGCCCGGACCTCCCGCAGGCTGCGGCCAGCTGCTGGCCTCGCTCCGGCAAAAGCCATCGCCCGGAAAAAGCCGAGGGGGGCCCCGTCCCCTGCCGCCTCCACCCGCTGGTGCCTGGCAGGAGGATGCTCAGCCTGCGCCCGCTGAGACGCGGCGAAGAGGAAAAGCGGGGTGTTCACACGTGGGCTCCCCGAAAGTCCAGAGCGTGTGAATATGGCCGCAGGTTTCAGGACAGGAATTTGATTGTGCATTCAGACCGGCCGCGGGAGACTTCTCCTTACGAAGGAGAATTCAAAAGCTTGTAACCTCTTATTTCTGTTTCCGGCAAGACTAGGCATCAGATACGTACTTTTTCGTTGTACTTTGATAAAAGTCTTCTAGTCTGAATATTTTATGCAGGGCGATCGGGACAATGCTTCATTTATTTAGTATAATTTGGTACATTTTCCTAACAGCAGGATTGACCAGCTTCCAGTCTTCACAGGACTGCTGTACCAGCTTGCAAAGCTTTTCTGTGTTTTCATATTCAGAAACTGAGAGGCTGAGGTTAAAATTCATCGGAATCCAGCTGGCTTCTAACCGGCTGCATAAATGCTTCCAAATTTCATGGGCCCAAGAGAAACAATGATGTGCAAGTAAAACACTGGTTCTTATTGTACTCGCTCAATTTTAGTTATAATCTCCCTAAAAGATTTGGAAACTATCCTGTCTTGCAGGATGTTATAGGTAGTCTGTCACTTACGGACTGCAATATGCAACAATTGTTATGTTATATATTCGTTGATTTTTCTGACTTTTTCTTTGCAATGCTGGCGAGTGGACTTCTGCACCCAAGTATCAGGCACTAAACTTTTTTCCTAGCAAAAACTGTGTGAGGTAAAATGCTACTGCACAGCTGGATACACAATCTAGATGCATGTTTTTTCAGGGTTTATACACCAGGATGCCTTAACATCTGTCATTTTTAGTATGACGAATGAGCCTTACTTACAGTCTGGTCATCCAAAGAGTTTGAAGAGAGGGGAAGGAGCTGAAAAATTAGAAGAACTTGATAGAGTCTGCACATCAAATCTGGGTTTTTGTAATACATCCCATTTTTCTTGCTAGATGGACTTGTGTCCTCTTTTGACTTCTGGAGGCCAAGGTATAGACTCTGTAACATGGGGGCACAGCTTCACCATCATCACCTAAGAAAGAATATGTGTCATACCAAGCCAATTATTCTTTTGTACAGGCACAAGTGCTATTTCATTAGAAAGCATCAGAAAAGGTTTACATTAATGGCTGCATACAAGAAACTGAAAAATTCTAAAGGAATGAACATATTTGTGGGGTTCCCATCAATCATTGGAAAGCACACTAGCTGCCCCTTTCTGTCAGCACTGGACGTCTGCTGGGTTTCAAATAGAATATAGATCAAACATCACCTTCCATCTTTCATTTTGACCATTGATCATACTTTTTAGAAAACACTTGATCATACTTGGTCTTTGTTAGACTGAAGACCTTATTATACTGTAAAGCAGGTTTTAGATTCAATAAAATAAATACTAATACAAAAAGAGATAAGCCTCATTGAAACTGATTTTTTTTATTTATCAATTCATTTATAATCAAGTGAATAAACCCTTTACACTCTGTGACTGTGCCCTCTGTGTTTGGATTATGGCTGTATGATTTAGCCATGTAAATGTGTTGTGATTTTGACAAATTATATTTTGACATATCCACTAATTTTGAGTATATAATTAAACATAATTTCCTGGATCTGTTGTCTTAATCAGCTTGAGAGGGATCCTTTTCTCCTTTTTTGTTATTCTAGATTGGTTTAAACTACTGACACTGAGGATATAACTGCCATCCATAATTTAAAATTGTTTTAATAAACAGTTAAGCACCATTACATCTACTGAAACTAAAACTATCCTTCCTTCCCAAAGGCACGTGCAGACAGGGCATATGCAGACAGACAGACTGGGTAACTGTTTTCTGAATAGCTGTAGCAGCAACAACAACAACTGCAAGAAAAAAAATACACTTGAAAGAAATCAGTAAGGGGTCACCAGGTACATGGCTGGACAAGCACTGAGAAGATAACACTGAGAAAATCCAAGAAAGGAAGATTTTTAGCCTAAATAGTGTTTTAAAGTTTGAGGTAAAGAGTATCTTCTGCTGGTTGAGTCTTCTGGAGTTTGAGGAGACAGAATTCCATCAGTCATTGTAAATAAACAAGGGCCTGAATGAAAGAAGTTTTACTTCATCATCAATTTGTTTTCCTAATAGAAATAATACACAGGGCCCCCAAGCATGGATAACTGGGTTAAGAAAGAGTAACACTACCAACAAAGAAAGACCAGAGAGAAAAACACTGATACATATAAACACATCTTTAGAAAATATGCTAAATTGTAAGAGTTGGGCTTTTAATTGAGAACAGAAGGAAGAAGAAAAATCCAGGCCATCTTTCTGTTGATTTTAAACATCTTAATATACCTTCTGGTTTGCTACTTAATATTACAAGATCACAGCACTGCATTAACCAAAAAGTACTAATAAAAAGTCTGATCCATTACAGGAGTTTGGTGCCTTTTTTTTTTTTTTTTTTTTTTTTTTTTTTCAAAAAATTAGACCCACAAAACCAGTGTTTAACCAGTGTTTAGTTGTTGCCTGCTTATATTTCAGGAGACATATCTGTAAGGTGGTATTTAAATCATAGAATCATAGAACAGTTTAGGTTGGAAGGGACCTTTAAAGGTTATCTAGTCAAATTCCCCCCTGCAATGAGCAGGGACATCTTCAGCCAGATCAGGTTGTTCAGAGCCCCATCCAACCTGACCCTGAGTGTTGCCAGGGATGGAGCATCTACCACCACTCTGGGCAACCTGTTGCCATGTTTTTAAAACATTTCTTCCTAATATCTAATCTGAATCTACCATCTTTTAGTTTTAAACCATTACCTCTTGTCCTATTGCAACAGGAAACTTGGTCCCCATCTTTCTTGTAAGCCCCCTTTAAGTTCTGAAAGGCCACTATAAGGTCTCTCCAGAGCCTTGTCTTCTCCAGGCTGAAGAAACCCAGCTGTCTGAGCCATTCCTCATAGGAGAGGTGTTCCATCCCTCTGATCATCTTTGTGGCCCTCCTCTAGACCCACTCCAACAGGTGCATGTCTTTCTTATGTTGGGGGCCTCAGAGCTGGATGAGTACTCCAGGTGGGGTATTATGAGAGTGGAGTATAGCAGGAGAATCACATCCCTTCACCTGCTGGTCACTGTGGGAAAGGATCTTTTGATGCAGCCCTGGATACTGTTAGCTTTCTGGACTGCGAATGCACACTGGTGGCTCATGTCCAGCTTTTCATCCACCAGTATCCCCAAGTCCTTCTTCTTAGGGCTGATCTCAATTCCTTCACCCCAGCCTGTATTGATATGGGAAGACGCCACAACCCAAGTGCAGGACTTTGCACTTGGCCTTGTTGAACCTCACGATGTTCACATGGGCCCACTTCTGGAGCTTGTCCAGGTCCCGTTGGATGGCATCCCGTCCCTCGGGAGTGTCAGCTGCACCATTCAACTTGGTGTCACCTGCAAACTTGCTGAGGGTGCACTGTCTATGTCACTGATGAAGATATTAAACAGTATTGGTCCCAAAACAGACCCCTGAGGGACATCACTCATCACTGATGAGTCACTGACATCACCCCTCAACATCAGTGTCACTGATTCAAATTGAATCTCTTCCTGATGGGGAGCAGACTCTTGAATGCTCCTTCGCTGAGACTTAATATGCCCACCATGTTGCTGAGTGGGATGATTTGATTTTGCTTTTGGTGGCTCTTCTTTAATCTGTTCAACTTTACAGTTAAATATACATAGAGCTAGAAAAGGTAAATATATTCATCTGCAAGTTAGTGGCTAAAATGGAGGAACTGTGTTCAAAGCCTTGCTTTAAGCTTTTGCCCAAACTGCCTCTGCAGTTTTTTGATATTCTTCCTGTTCAGATTTACAGACCTGTCATAAAAGGTTTCTGACAAGGACAACAATGAAGCAAAGAGATGATGGGTATTGGTATTTATGCTGTTCTGGGTGTGGTGGGAAACCTTTATCCAAAATAAAATTGTTTCAATGTTGCAAGATCTTTTGATAGATGGATTCCTTCAGCTGAAAATGCCTTGGCCACATCCATCGTTGAGGACCTCATGAACTGTTTTATTCTTGAGGAGCACAGCTATATTGGCAATTCAGAGACAGAACTCAACAAAAAAGCAATGGGACATAGCTTTCCTATGGCTAGGTTTACCAGAGTAAAAAGATGAATAAAGATCCCATATCATCATCCAAGTCCCTGGACACTTTGCATGTACCAGGTAGCATTTCCAAGCATTTTCTTTTATCAACAGGCAGCACTATGCATTTTGTAGTACAGTTTGTGCAACATGCTGTTCATTTGAGTGTTGGTCTTCAGACAATGTAGCACCACAGAGAAAATTTTATATCCATTGCTTTTGGTATTTCATCAGCAGAGTTTACAAAAATCATGGTTTCCCATGAAGCTTGAAAATACTTTAAAAACAGGACTTCAGAAAGATACTCATAGCACGCAACTGTTTATGGCCTTTGGAAAAAGAAGCCATGCCTATTACCATGTATAATCCATCACTGATGAAGAACAAAATTGGCAGAAACTTTTTTCTGCAGCTCCTTTGCCAGATATTTCACACAAGTAACTGAAAAAGTAACCACAAAGGTCTGTAAAAGTAAATAGTCAAACATAAATTAGTTTATAAGGATGCATGAAATACATTAAATAAAGTAATGCAATGATTTCTAGAACAATTACTTGAACATAACTTTTTTATATGTGTTACGAAGAGATGGCATGAAGATTTTACTTTTATGGTACAAGTTTTAAAAGTTGCCTCT